TTTTTATAAAAATAATTTTATAAGTCACAATTAGATATTTCATCAACTCATCAACATATTTTGAGTGAAGCTGAGCTTCCAGGAGAAAAAGACGTACTTAGCCAAGCAGGTGCTGCTCTTTTAAAAGCAATAACAGCTCCTCTACCACCAGGACTTGATAAATTAAGTGCAGTAACAGAACAAAAGAGACGACTTGACAAACTTAGAATAAAATTTTCTGTGATTGTAGCTAGACATCTAAATAATCTTTTTATACATTTGGTATATATATATATTTATATGATAATAAAAATTCAATTATTATATATGAATAATAGATTAAAATATCAATATATAATAAAATATCAATAATAGTAGATTAAGATATCAATAATATTAAATTAGTGTCTTTATAGGGCAATGATATTGGAGATATGTCAACATCAATGACTGATTTAATTCTTCCAACACATCAAGCAGTTCATTATGAACTTGAACCATATACAGAATTAATGCAATTATTAAGAGCATTAGATTATAAAGCTTTTGTACAATTAACTAAAGTTTATACAGATACAATGAGTAAACTATATAAAAGGGATTTGAAAAGATTTTTTGAGGAAGCAAGAAATAAACTTATTTGTAAACGTTTTCAAAGTATATATTATATTTTTCTCTCTTCTATTATTATTATTATTCTATTATTATTTTATATTTTTATATTATAATATTATAAATACTAATTTTTAAAATACTTTTTTAAGCAAATACATCAAAATCTAGTGGTCAAAAAGTAGAAGATTTATTGAATCCTGCACCTATTTGTTTATTAAGTGGCGAAATATGGGCACCTGTAGGAGAAGGAAATCTTTTAGATTCAGTTCTTGATTGTATGCTTTCTCAAATGCAACCAGTTTGTCTTGCAGAACAAGCTTTTTGCATTTCTTTTCTACAATTAGATTCTGTTCTTTCCCCATCAAAAGTATGTAAATTATTTTACTAAAAACTTATATAAATTAATTATATCTTAAAATTAATTATCTACTTGTGTTTTTTTATCTAAATATGTTAGAGTAGTGAAATGGAAGAAACAGATAATGTTAGCAATGGAGCTGCAAGTCCAGGATCAGTGACTTCTACAGCAAGTAAAAAATTAGAAAGACAAGTAAATGAAGAAGTACGTGCAACAATGGCAGCTATATTTCCATCACTGGAAAGTGAATTAAATAATTTTATTGCCTTTTTGGATAAAATAGATAGTTTGTAAGTTTTTACAAATTTTGATTTTAAAATTTTTTTTAAATTTATTCAAAGAAAATAACTAATGAAAAAAATTTCAGTTGGTGTATGTATGTCTTAGTACGTTTATCACAACATGTTATGTCAGCACAAGATATTGGTTCATTTTTATCTATGACATTTGCTTCTGCTTTAATTCAAGTTAAAAGAGCTTTTGATAAATTCATGCAAACACAATTACAATCAATTCTTTGTGATACTAAAGTTAATCGTAGAAATAAATGTGGTATATTACCATATGTAGAAAATTTTGAATCATTTGCACGAACAGCAGAAAAAATTTTTAAAAATTCAGATAGAAAAGTTGATCTTGAGAAATGGTATACTAAATTAGTAAGTACAATGTTTGATGCTATTGTTATCCATAGCAGAGAACATCATAAAACTCCACAAGAAGTTATTAAAATGGGTGAGGTTAAATATATATTAATTTTATTTTTTAATTATTCAGTAATTAAATATTGTATTGTATTATTTTCAGAAAATTTTCATCATTTATACGATCTTTTATCACAATTAAAAATATCTGTTCTTGATCACGAACGAAAGGAAGCTAAACAAAAATATCAGGATGCTTTACGAGCATATGTTACACAATATTTTGGAAGACCTTTAGAAAAACTTAATGTCTCTAATTTACATTTTTTTAATTTATTTTACATTTTTACATTTATAATTTCTTTTTATCATTATAATGTATAACATGTATTTACAGTTATTTTTTGAAGGCGTGCAAGCAAAAGTTGGTGCTGGAGTTAAAGAATCTGAAGTTAGTTATCAAATGGCCTTTAGTAAACAAGAACTTAGACGTGTTGTAAAAGAATATCCTGCCCGAGAAGTTAAAAAAGGTTTAGAAAATTTATATAGAAAAGTTGAAAAACATTTGTGTGAAGAAGAAAATTTATTACAAGTAATTTTAAAATATATATCTGTTATTAATATTTTTCTTTTTCTGTATTTAATTATTTATTATATATTTATTTATTTAGGTCGTTTGGCGTGAAATGCAAGGTGAATTTATTGCACAATATATTTACATAGAAGAATTAATTCAAAGATGCTATCCGGATAGTATGGTAACTCTTGAATTTACCATACAAGATATTTTAGAATTTTTTTCAGAAATAGCCCGATCTCACTAAAAAATTTGATAATTTAAAAATTGTGAAATAAACAATTATATTTATATATTAGATTTAAATAATATATTAACAGAATAATAATTTTTTCTATAAATAAAAATGTAAATATTTAATTTTTATATTTTAACTTTGTTAAGTTTGAATCTTTTTGATAAATAAGGACATAATGAATTTATTTATTTAATGAAATTTAATTCAAATATTTTATGTATTTTATTTCTTAATAATTTTTCAATATTTTTCAAAATGCATTAAAACAATTTTAAATCATATAATTTTAAATACAAAAATGTAAACAAAATAAAATATATATTTTAAATCACAGAAAATATTCCTTTTTTCTTTATATATATATAATACAAAAATTAAATATACTATAAATAGAAATATTTTATTATTTTTTACAATAAAATAATTATACAATAATTATATTTGCTATATGTACTATAATACTATATTTGAATTCATTTTATTCAGAATCTTTATTTTTTGGAGTTGGTGGAAGAAAGTTAAGCCAAAGTACTCCACTTATTCTACCCTAAAAATTAAAATATGAATATTTTAAATATTTTAAAAATAAAATATATAAACAAATATATTAATCAAATTTAAAAAATTTGTATTAATACATACATATGCTATAGTTGCAACAAGTATAACAACACCAGCTACAAATTGTATATTATATTTAGTTCGAGTTTTAGCATTTGCTTCTTTCCATGAGCCACATGGTACAAGTACTTCATCCATAGATGGTGGTTTAACATTATCAGGAACTTGATTACCATGATAAGATCGCATACCTTTAATATTAAAAAATTATTTTATTTTATTTTAAAATAACTTATATAAGTAAAAATGTTTTTTGTAAAATTATAATTTTAATTGAAAATATTAATAAATTGAATCAAATAATAAAAAAAAAATAAAATAAATATAAATTAAACTTTATAATTATTGTTGTACTATATATTATTTATTTATTATCAAACAATATCAAATGAAAGAAACTAATATATATTATATATTTCAAATTATTTAAAATATTATAAATACTATATGTTATATAATAATATTATTAACTTACTACTTCTTGCGTTTCGAGTAATTGATTGGAAAAGATGTCGTAACATTTTTATTCTTTATTATTTAACTTTTAATATTTAATACGTAGATCTTCGGACAGTATCAAAGAAAAAGTTGATAAAATAGAACGTTCAATACTTATAATCGTGCATGCGATTGTTATTAATATATATAATAGCTAGATAGAAAAATCACTTGATAATTCTGTTTCATAGAATCATAAACAAAGAACAAAATAGATGTAACATTTAATGCATTTTTTTGTCCCTTATTTCGATAAAATATTAGGATTCCTTTTCAATTTTATATTGGACGATTTGATTCAAATTGCAATATTGATAATAATTAGAATTGAAAATAAATTTCAATATAAAATTACAAATAAGAATAAAAAATATTTTATTATATGATTATATTTACATAAATTAATTATATTATAATTATTATATTATAATACATTATAATGAGATTTTAATGTCTTTATTTTTTACATTAAAAATTAATATATATTATTATTTAAAAAGAAAACAAAAATATATTTAATGACATCCTATATTATACATTAAGAACTTCAAAGACAGGATAAGGTAAACTAAGAATTGAAAATCATTCAGCATCATTCTTAAAATTTTTAATCCTCAAAAGATGATGTTGATGGTGATCAATTCTTATTTTATCTTTATTCTTCTCTTACTATCTTTATTTTATAATTTCATTTATGATATTTTAGACGTTTTAAATATATAGCATTTTTTTACTCATTTCTTGTCTATTTGGTCTCCTTATCTATATTTTTGCAGAATCCTCAAGAAACACTTACGATATATTATTATATAATATAGTAATAGAAAATTGACAAAAAAAAAAAATAAAAATACTTACGATTCCCATATATTTTTATTTTTTATCAAATATTCAATTTAATTTTTGCTTTATTATATAATAACATTTATAATTACATATTAAAAATTGTTTATAATGAAAATGTTTCTTTCATATATATTTCAACAAATATAAATGTTTTAAATATCAATTACATAAATTTAAGTCAATAAGTATTTTATTTTTAATATTAAAAAATTGTATTTAAAATATTAAATGTTATACTTATTCGAAATATAAATAAACATAGACAATTTTCAATTTTCTTTTTGTTAAATAGTGATTATAAAAATAAATAATGAAAATACTTATAATCAGGTATTTTTTTAAATAGATGATATTTATAATATTTTTGATTTATATGACAAAAAGAGACAATTGTTTTACATATTCTATTTTATATTTTTGATATTTTTACACTTAATTTGTTTTTGGACGTATATTAATACAATGCCAATTTTGTTATTTGGTTTTATACATTTACATTATATTATAATGTATGCTTTTAGCAATATAGTTCAAGAAATAATGCAATTTGATTTTTCTTGTACATTTCCATCTGCTTTTTCAATTTCAATTAATAGTGTATGAAAAATATCTGCAACAGACTGAAACAATATTAAAAAATTAAATTAGACTTTTTTTAAATAATTGAGAAAAGAAAAAAGAAGAAACAAATAAAAGCTTACCTCGTTTTGTTTTGCACTTGTTTCTAAGAAAGCTGCATGCCAAGAATCTGCCAATCGTTTGCCTTGTTCTGTTGTTATCATTCGGTCAACATATAAATCTGTTTTATTTCCTACTAATACAATTGGAACACTAAAAATTATATATAAGAATATTTTTAAAATATTTATTATTATTAATTTTTTTATATATTAATAACATAAATAATAATATATATAACATACTGGACTTTTCCTGTTATATCCAATAACTTGTCATAAATAATTTGTACAACTTCAAAACTCTTAGCACTGGTTATGCTATATACTAAGACATAACCATGAATGTCCATAGAATACTGTGTTGGAAATATACTATATTCATCTTGACCTGCTGTGTCTACCAATTTAACTTCATAATCTTGACTATTTACTCGAGTACTTTTTGTAAATGCTGGAATATATATTCAAATTATTTATATAAGAAAATAAATTAAAATAAAACAGTAGAACCCACATCTTTCAAATCTTTATATCAAATTTTTAATTAAAATTGAGTTAATCTTTGATTAACAAAAAGCTTATATTTTTCTTTTATTAGTTTAATTTGAAGAAAAATTTAATGATAAGATGTAAGGTGCTACTATATTATACATATACATATATACAATTATAAATAAATCTTGTATAATTTTTAAATCTCATATGGAATAAAAAACTAATAACTCAAGAATTCATGCATATTGCTAATAATGTATCATGCTGTAACGACATTAATTTTGTAGTGTTAATAGTACTTCCTAAATTACATACAAATCGCACATAATGTAAATTAATTCAATTAATAAAATATTTTCTGTACTTGAACATTACTTGTATATAAAGTACAATAAAATAAAATTGAGTAGTATTTCATGAAAACCAAACAAATTCATGAAAGTATTCAAATTCCTATATTACATAATTAAAATTTTTAATTTATTTGTTTGTAATTATGAAATTATTAAATAATATATCAGTTAAGTTATTAAATGAACAAAATATACGTTATATATTTAAATTATATAAGTAACATATTTATATATATTTTTCATTTAAATTATACTTATTTTTTAAATGAATATTAAATCTGCATCATCTGTATATATTTTATTTAACTTATTTTGCAACAGTAAAAAGTGCATTTGAAATTATAATGCAAAAAATATGTATTACTCAATATTTACAATCAATGTTAATAATAATATTTTAGAGAACAAACAAGAATTTTATATATAATATTATACATAAAAAAAATTTAATTGTTGCGAAAAATAATAATAATTTTAACTAGTTTCCTTAAATATAAAAATTTTCAATAATTAAATAAGTAGAAATTCCATTAATAATTTATAAGATAAAAATGAAATATATAAATAAACACTTTTTAAAATAATTTTTTAACTAACTTTCAATTTTAATTATTAATTTAAAATAATAATATTATAATAAAAAAAATAACTAATTATTTTATATATAAAATAATAATCTTATTAAAAGCAAAATTTTAAAATACAACATAAACATTAAGTCATGAATGTTATGTATAATATTAAATTATTACCTTAATTATTGTAAACAAGATACTAAAATATATAAATTGATATGTTCATATATCATAA